AACTAGCATTGCACCCGCCCTCTGCTGCAGTTCTCCATCAGGTCCATCAGCAGAGGGCGGGTACAATGCTAGTTTACTATCGGCTATTGCAAATTGAAATAGCCAATAGGAATCTAGCAATGCATTCCTATGGGCAAAATTAAACATTTTTTTCTATTCTGACATGGCTCCGTGTCAGAATAAAGAAAAAAAAAGGAAAAAGCAGTGTTTCTCTCCTGGGCGGCCAGGTGCGGGTGACTCCCAGAGCGCCGGGAGAGATTTTTTTCTCCTTTTTTTTACGGCAGCAGAACCGCCGGACAATAGAAAACTGTTGGGCGGAGCTAGCTGTCATTGTTAGCTCCGCACAATCAATTTCTATTTATTTTTTGTACTTTTTAAACTATTTTTCTGTTCTGCTCGGTACCTCTGAGGGACCGAGCAGAACAGCCAAACCGAATGCCGCTCAACAGCAGCGAGTAGCCTGCGGGAGGTTGGGCTTAGCCGATCCAGATGTTGGATCGGCTGAGTCGAACTCCTCCTGCACTTCGAGTCGGCCAAATATGCTGAGCATGTTCGGCTGACCCGAAGCCACCCTATGTACGGCTGAAATCAGCCGTACCAGCCTGAAGTGAATAGCCGAACAGCTATTTCACTTTCACTTCACTTTAGGTCGGTCTTTCACTCGGCTGCCTACGGCAGCTTAGTGAATAGACCCCTCAGTGATCAGTGTTCGCTGAGTGTTTGTACATAATTGAGAACATGGTATGTTTACAGTGTCCTCAATTATGAATGAATGGGAAGTGGTCTACATTAGGGATGGGCTGCATGTTCGAGTCGCACATAGGTTCGACTCGAACATAGCCTGTTCTAGCGTTCGCTGAACGCCGAACATTACGGGATGTCTGTTCGACCGCGGAACATCCCACAATGCACTGCGCCGTCCGAAACGGTAATTGGCCACAGTCTTGCACCTGACCGCAGACTGTGCCAATCAGGGCTCAGTACAAATATAGAGCCATGATTGGGCAAAATCCAATCACAAATTATATTCACAGACTTGTGCCATTTGCCCAGTGGGGTATTGCATCAACAGGAGCCATATGGCCTGTTTTTGTGTGATATACTTATGATATATTCAGGAGGTGTCCATGTGTAGATTGATTTTCACCCAGCATGACATTGGTAGCATATCACTTCCTCTAGTGCTCAGGAAACATTAACAGCTGCTTTGGAAGGGTTAAAGAAGAACTCCAGTATGAACAAACACTTTATACTGCCTAAAGCTCTTTTAAAGGTCCAAAATATTAAAGTGGACCTAAATTAAAAATCTGATGATTTGCTATATTATAAGGAACATCTAGACATGTTAATTGTGCCTAAGCAGCTCTCTGAAAAAATGTACCTTTGGAATTCCTCTTGAGATAATCCAAAGCATTTCTTGGCATGTAAGGGTGCCTAGGCACTCTTGTACCTAAAGCCTCAAAAGTATATATCTGCAGTGAGGGATATAAGGCACCTCTGCTTCTGACTACTACTCTCAGGAGATTTATAGTGAGATTTGGTAATGTCACTACTGTGCTGTTCTCCTTACTGGAGCCTCTGACATGAGGAAGCAAAACCCTGCCTTTACCAAAATGGCTGCATAGAGACATACAGTGAGACAGTGTAGCAAAAAGCATGGAAAGTCATTAAAGGACAAGTATTGAGAGCATAAAATGTACTCTTCCCAATACTTAGAGCCAGCGTATAACACTGCAGGTGTCA